GAGAGAGAGAGAGAGAGAGAGAGTCTGATTCAAAGATTCAAAACAGAGAGTAGTGTTGGTCCACATGGCTTCTCTGAAGGCACAGACAATCCCCCTGAGATATTTTTACACACTTGAAAGTGGCTGTCAAGATGAGCATCACATGTGCAGCCTGCTCTTTACATCAGTTGAGGAACATAGCTGAAGTATTCACCAAATTTCCTCTCTTCAAACCTACCTTTTCCTGAGAAAGGGCACAGGGACAGAAACTTCTTGTTCCCCACAGCGTTTAGCCTGTGAGTGTGTAAGGGGCAGGGATTTCACTCTGCTAACTTGAATATACGTCAAGATCATTGATTTCTAATTTTTTTCCATTGAGTTTATTGGTACACTTTAGGTATACAGACAGTTACATTCATCATTGGGATTGTGTACCCTTACATGACAGATCTCGGTTCTCATTTTTTTCCCCATACGCCTGTCCTTCCCTGACCCCCTCCACCTCCCCTATTTATAAAGACTTTGATTCCATTTTTTCCTTTTCACATGCTTTTTCTTGTCCCTTATTTCCTTTCCCCTACCCATCCCTCTTCCCCTACATCTTTAGCCCTTTTCTTCCTATTTCACATTTTCAGCTATACAATTTGGATCTTATTTACACTTTTGGTTTTTCACACCTGAGAAACTATTCAGTATTTACACGTATGTGTTATTTATATTTCACTTAAGAGAATGCGTATTGAGGCCATTACTTTCTAATTTGACCTAGAATCTAAACATGATTTAGTCTTTTCTACTACCGGGGCCTACCATACTCCTATCCTCTGGAGAAATCTCTGAATCAACTGGTATGTTTTCTCTTCCCAACATCTATTTGTCTCCACTATTCTGGAAAGTGCCTCACAATCTCATTCCAAAACAACTTAGTGTTCAGCTGTCTTTCCTGTGGTTGAGGTAGGAGATGTTGGCATCACTATAGCTTGTTTAATTTAGTTTAGTTCAGTTTGCCTTTTCCCTTCACTAACTTATCCTGTTACAGGTATTAAGAGGCCCTCTTGGGAGGAAAAGGAAATAGAATAGTGTGATAATAGGCATGACCTTCCATTTCCAACTTCTTTGAACAAGGAGTATTCTGTTGAAGACTTCTATATTCAATGGTCTACATTATTTAACCAATGTTATTTTCCCTGTATTCCTTCATAGAGGTGACCCTAAATAGAGCAATTTATACTATTTTTTTATACTGGGTTGAAATGAGCAGCTCTAAAGAAATGAACCACTTAATTTCTTCCATTATTATTTTGGATATATTATTTTGATTTACTTAAGTAATCATCTTCAATTCTTTGTTCCACATAACAAAATTGATTTGAGTGCTTTCTTCCCATCAATGGCAAATATCCTCTACCAGATATGGGAGAAAAAACACTAGTGAAATTTTTGACATGTAGGTTTTACAATAACTTTTTAGTGACTTGAAGGAGTCCTTTATATATTCAGTATACAACTTGTGCCGAATACCTGTGTTGCAGATATCTTTTCCTGCCTTCTAACTTGGCTTTTCACTTTCTTAGCAGTGCCTTTTATGAGCAGGAACTCTATATTAGTAGTTCAATTTTTTCATCTTTCCCACATGATTAGTAGGATTTTGTCTGTATCCTATTAAAGAAAATTTTCCCTAACCCCCAAATCATGGAAGTTTTCTCTTATATGATCCTCAGTAACTTATTGTTTTACCATTAGACTTATAATCTACCTGCCATTGATATTAGCAGAAGGATTTTAACTCATGATTGTGAATATTCTACTTAGCCTTTTAGTTCTGATTATGTTTGCCTTGCATTTTTAGATCTACTACATTGTTACCCTTTTCATTGTTCCATATTCTTGGCTATATCTCTATGCCTCCATTTGGATTTTTTTTTTTGCCTTCAAGGTATCCTTTAATATTTCCTTTAGTGTAGTTCTGCTAGTGATGAATACCTTCAGTTGTTGTTTTCCTTAGTGTGGCTTTATGTCACTCTTAATTTTCAGGAATATTTTCATTGGTTATTCTCTTTACTTTTAAATTTACCTTAAATTTATTTTAAATGATACATAGAAACTTAACAATTGTACGCATTAATAAGGTATCATGTAATGTTTTGATACATGTATAAATGACGTAAATGGTTCAACATATCTATTTCCTCGACTGTCATTTTTTATGGTGAAAACATTCAAAATACTTTCTTGTAACTTGTGAAAGACACAGTGCATTGTTGTTTTCTATAATCACCTTACTGTGCAATAGCATCTCAGAATGTAAGAATATCTTGCCCCTATCAAACTATAGCTTAGTACAAACTGATCAGTCTTTCCCTGCCATCTATCCCCACTACTCTCCCAGCTTCTAGCAACTCTCTCTCAACTTCTATGAGATCAACTTTTTAGACTCCAATTATGAGTGAGGTCATGCAGTACTTGTCTTTCTGTGCCTGGATTACTTCCCATTACAATCTCTAGTTCCATCCATGTTGTCATAAATGATAGACTTTCATTGATTATGGTTGAATAGTATTTCATTGTGTATATGCACTACATTTTCCTTATCCATTCACCACCTTGTGAACACTCTTGTTTCTGTTTCTTGGATATTGTATATACTGCTATAATTGTCATGGGAGTACAAAGATCTCTTCCACATACTTACTTTTCTTTTGGGTATATGCCTACTAATGGGACAGCTAGATCATAGAGCATCTCTGTTTCATGTATTATTTAGTTATTGAGGAACCTCCATTCTGTTTTCCAAAATACTCACTGGTTATTAAATATTAGGTTGAAGGGTTTTAACATTCAGTAAGTTGAAAATTCCATTGGCTTCTGGCTTCTAGCATTTTTGTTAGGGAAACTATCAGTATGCTGCTGCTCATTTGAAGGTAATATTTTTGATTATTTTAATATCTATGCCTTCTCTATTAAGTTTTAGCGGTTAGTATGGAATGTCTTAGTTCAATTTTTTTGTATTTACCCATTTGAGATTTCTAAAGCATATTAGATCTGTGCCTTGATGCCTTTTGTCATATGTGAACATTTCTCAAACAATATCTCCTCTTCAGGAATTCTTTTCCTCTTTTATATCTCTCCTTTACTCCGGGTAACCCAGTTGTATGTCTTAGTCATAGTCAACATCTTTCACATAATTCTCATTCTCCATTCTGGCTTTTCTATCATTTTATACCAACACTGAATTCAATTTCTATGTTTCTATCTGGTCTGTCTTCAAATTCATGAAATTTTTTTTATTATATCTGATTTGTCATTTAAACTCATGTATTTGATTTTTTTTTTTTTTTTTGTAACAGGGGTCTAACACAGAGCCATGCACTTCTGAGGCAGGCAGCAGAACCACTGAGCTAAATCCCCGGCCCTCATGTATCTAATTCTTAAAATCAATTGTGTTTTTCAGTTTGGGAATTTTCTTTTGTTTCTGTTGTACTTTCTAACTCTCTGCTAACCTTATTCTTTTCTTATACTTTTTTCAATAAATTATTTGTTACTTTATTACTTTAAAGTCTATGAAATACATCTCTATTGTTTGAGTGAGTCCTTATTGGGATTGTTTAGATTGTTCGTTTTTTCTCTTAGTTTTGTCCTATATCTCTTCCTATAAAGCCGGTAGCATTTGACTGATGGCCAAAGTATATGAAAAATGGTAACAGTTAGTGAGATTTCAGTATGCACTGAGAATATACATTTTTGTTCTGGGAGGCAAATAGGCTAGGTCATTGCCTATTCATGAATACAGTAAGTCAGAAATTGAA